GAGAGGGAGAGGGAGAGGGAGCGGAGTCAGCGCTGCGGGCCCGGCATCGGCCGCCGAGTGCCCCGAGCGGCTGGAGAAACATCCCCCAAGGCGGGTGAACTTTCAGCTCTTAGCTGAGCGCACAGTTTTGTTTTTTTTTTTTTAATTTCGCTCAGGTTTTCCCGCTTGAGTTTCATCTGAATCCAACCGTTTTTCAGATGAAATCTTCAAATAAAACCAAGCGCTCTTTGTTCGTGTTCTCTCTCTTTCTCCCCCTCTCTCTCCCGGGCTATTGTTGAGGCAGTGACTGGAACAGGGAATTACAGCATGGGAACATTGGCCTCGCCTGTCGCCCGCCATAAGGACAGTAATTCTGTCACTTACCTCATTTCCCATAACAACGGATGTTATTGGTTTAGGGAATGTGTGAACACTCAGCTAAATCCTGAAGACCTTTGCATGCACACACACTCATGTACATATATTCCTATATATTATTCACTCCACTTAAGCTAACCTCTCTGGCACTCACCGTGGGCTTGCTTCACTAAGAAATTCGGGATTTGCCTCTTCATAACACCATGGAATGAGCTCTCAGGGAAGCTCCTCCTGATACCCTACCAATTCTCTGCTGTCCTACAACTGCCCTGCCTGGCAGAGCCCCGTCCCTGGTCCCAGTGGTGCTCAGCCCAGATGGGGGTTTATGAGCCCAGACAGGGTTTGCTTGCTCCAGCTGTACTGTGCAATTTACCCAGGAGTGTGCTGGACATTTTCAAGCCAGCCTTTATTCACTCCATACCAATGGTAGGACACAGGCTGATTTCCAGCCCGCCTATCAGCTGGAACAAAAGATCCTCAGTGCCTCTTGTCCAGGAGCTCAAGACAGAGTCACAACTGCTCATCTTAGTCCCTGTGTGCCTCAGATGTACCTTGATATAACCTGAACCATCCTGCGACCTTTATAGGGAGATTTACCAGAACCAGACCTTTCACTGGGAAGAGAAACCCCAAACCATGTGGCTGCACATGAGAGAAGAGACAGGTGAGATCATGCAGGGCTTGGAGAGTGCAATCACCTTCCTAAAACAAGTGTTTGTGGATGAACCAGGCACACACAGATCTGCTGCAAACCATGGGCAAGCTCCGAGCTCTGCTGAGCAACGTCAGCAGAATTCCCTGGTTCACAAGCTCAGGATGCAACACAAACATAAACACTCAGGGTGAGAATCACAGCTGGGATCTGCCAGAGAGGCTCTGCCAGCCTGGGATTTCCTGGTACCTCACTATGTGCTGCACTAGACTGAACTAGCTGGAAAGACACATTATTTAGTGTTTGGGGCTCTTTTTGGAGCAGACTCACAATTCTAGAGTTCTTACTGTCTTTAAGGGCTGGATGTGGCGAGCAGGCACATCCAACTCCTTCACAACTGCTTCCACTAGTGCTTCCTAAAATGCAGTTCCTGTGAGTCTTCACACGAAAACGGGAAAATACTGGATGACAAAACCCATTGCTACTGGTTAAATCTTTGGTTTGGCAGCTGCAGGGAGTGAGGCTGCCCCATGGGCACCTATTTAGTAGGGCCATTGGGAGCTGGGCATCTCCATCCTCATCTCAGTTCTGCCAGGACTTTGCTCTGTGATCCCGTGTGCTCCCTGCTCCCAGGGCTCTTTTTTTACTCATGTGCAGGATATGCCAAGTTTCATCTGACTGCCCTGAGAGGCCCAATTACTGGCAAAGCTTTTGGAGAGCCATCAGAACAAGGGCAGTCCAAAACTGAACCACACTTCAAACAAACATGACATTATTATCCTAGAGAATACAATAAACTAAAATAACTGTATTTGTACTAGAGGCAATGGACATAAGGGTCAGATTTGCTCTTGCCCATAACCACAGAATGACCCTAGAGGTGTCAATGCAGTGTATAGCTATAGAATATACACAATATAACCCCTTTTTCAACTCTCTAACTGTGCTCTCTGTGTGTTTATTGCAGCAGAAGCTTCAATATCTGACTGAACCCTTAGTGCTACTTTTGGCAGAAACACTAAAAGTCTGCATTGTTTGGGAGCACAGACACTTTGGCAATGCAGTCACTGCATTTTGACACATTCAATAGAAAAGGGAATTTTTATAATCTGGATCAAACTCCATGGGGAAAGGGAAAAAAAAAAGGGGGGGGGAAAAAAAGCCTCCAGAATGTAAATATTGGACAAGATGGGAATTCCTAGGGATTTTGTCTTACTTAATTGTACACAAGACTCCAAGCTGGATGCATCCTCAAACCAAAAGCTATTGGCTTGTGTCCAAATCTTGTGGCTGCTTTTTTCTCTCAAATACTCCAGCCCAGCCCCACCAGATCCAAACATCCTTTCAAGCTGGAAAAGTTTAGTTCCAGATCCAAAATCTGTAGTTAGAGCACATCTCTATTCCAAGAGCAGCATAAAGTGGCTGTCACTCATATGTCACTCTGTTACTCAGCCCCTGGTGAAGCACATCAGAGCAGCTCCTCTATCTTGAGAGAGACACAAATTAACTGCTCTACAGAGTTCTTGGGCAAAGGAAGGAATTATTCACAATTCATCTTTGAGACAAAAATACTCATTCATAGGAAAATCTTAAACAAACTCCCCGGCTGTGATCTCTTCCCCTCACTCCTATCCCGTCTGTCTGTATCGATTAACCACAAGCGTTTTCGGAGAGCTCCTCAGCACAGAAACCAGACAAAACAGGGGCTTTTTCCAGCTTTCCGGTGCGTGCTGCATCCCAGGGAGCGGCCCAAAGTCTCTGAGCAAGGGGGCTGCACAAGCACTCAGGCAGCCAGGAACGGCAGCACCTGGAAGGGCAGCTCATCCCTGCAATCAGCACTGACTGAGTTGAGC